GGCTGAGGGGTAGCTGTCTGTGTGTCATCTGTAGACTTTTTCTTCTACACCTTTATTCATTTCTCATCCCAGGGGTCTTTAATGATGAGTTTAAATTTGGACAGCCCAAAGTAGTTTATGGCACGGGATGGTAGAGGCAACCTCCAAATGTCTTGGGCTACCAGCGGCAGTGATCCTGTGTCGTATGGGGTACTGTCCACCGAGGTTGCAAGGAGCTGGGCTGGATTTCTCGTAGGAGGACGCTGTCTCCTGGCTGGAGGGGAACTGTTGGGCGCCGTCAGGGCCCCCTATAGGCGGGAGGGTTTGATCTACGTGTTCCCTCAAGAGGTGGCAGAGCAGCGATAGGAACAGGAGGTATATGGCCAGAGGTGGGGGGTTTATGGGGAAATTGTGGTTAATTAGAAACAATCTCCTGTAAAGCAGTTCAAAGGGGCTGAGCCCTGTAGGGCCCCGCGGAGTAGCTCTAGTCCTGGTGAGAACGAGAGGGAGAAGGACCAGCCAGGAGAGTTTGGCCTCAATAGAAAGTTTGGTCAGGTGGTTTTTGAGGATACCATGGGCCCTTTCGACTTTACCAGATGATTGCGAATGATATGGTATGTGGAGTTTCCAGGTGATGTCAAGGGAGTTCTCTACCTGCTGAACCACTTGAGCAGTAAAGGCAGGACCGTTGTCTGATTGAATGGTTGTAGGCAGTCCAAAATGTGGGATGATCTGGTCAATGAGGATAGAGGCGATGGTGTCTGCTGTTTCTTGGGGGGTGGGAAAGGCCTCGTTCCATCCTGAAAAGGTATCAACAAAGGTAAGGAGGTAGTGGAGTTTTGTGTGGGGAGGCAATGGGTGAAATTAATTTGCCAGTTTTGGGCTGGTTGGTGTCCTCTCATTTGGTGGGTAGGGAATTGGGAGTGGAGATCCCCTTGAGGAGAGGCTTTTGAACAGACAGTGCAGGCCGCGTGTATTTTTTCAATAGCTTGCCAGAGGCCTGGGAGGAAAAAGAGTGACTGCAGAAACTGGTAAAGGGTTTTAGGTCCTATATGTAGGGAGTGGTGGATGTCAGAGAGGAGGGCTGCAGCCTGCTCCCCCGGCAGGGCAATTTTGTCTTTGAGGAATATTCATCCCTGGTCAGTTCTTCTTCCTCCTTTTTGTAGAAGAGTCTCCTCTTCCTGGGAAGTATAAGAGGGTTTAATGGGAGTGGAGAGAAACATGATGGGTGTAGAGGAGGTGTCCAAGGTGAGACCCCGAGCTATTGTGTCTACACGAGTGTTCCCTAGAGAAACAGGATCCTTTGCAATGCACTACTGCTACCTCTGCGGGTAGCAGGAGGGTGTCATGGAGCTTAGAGATGAGGGTAGCATTGATAATGAGGGGTAGCATTGATAATGAGGGGTAGCATTGATAATGAGGGTCTGAGGGCCCTCCTCTGCCTTTTATAGTTTCTTTTTAATGTCTGGAACTGATTGGGAGATGAAATGTGTAGCTAGGACTGTAGCCCTGCCTCTGAGGTAGGGTCTAGTCGTGTGTGGAGAATCATAGCATTGGTCAGACGATTCAGAAAAAAGTGCTGGATTTTCATCAGGACCCTGAGTGATCTCCCTTAGTCTGTAGTGAGGTATCTGAATTCTTTGGCAAAGGCAGTGGGGTTAGTCAAGTAAGATCCTAAGCGTTTTTCAGTGGCAGATATGTCAGAAAGAGAGAAAGGAACATGGACCCGCACTACCCTTTCTGTTCCAACTACTTCATGGAGAGGGCAGAGAAGGTTGACTTCTTCCTATGAGGCACGATGTGATTGGGTGTGGGGGCTGACAGGGGAGGGGAGAGCGGGGTCAGAGGCTACAGGCAAAGAAGGGTTAGGAGAAGACATCTGGGTATGGTGGAGGAGAATTGGGAGTGGGATTCAGTGTAGAACCAGCTGAAGTACCTGACAACCTGTAACATGAAATCATTTAGCTGCAAAACAATGATTAGCTGAAAGTTAGGTATAACAACCTCTCTGCTTGAGTTCTATAAACCTTACATAAGCAGTGATGCATTTCTCACTTTGAGGAGACATGCACTGAAATATGCATGTCTGTGTTTGGAACAACTTACTGCTCAGAGCAGTTCTTTTGAAAATTACCATCACAAAGTGTCAACTGTGCTCCAGACTGACCTATGCAAACCTGGAAAAGTGGTTGTGAGTAGCAACATCATCAATACCAGCTAACATCACACACCTCACCAAAGAGAATCAGTTCCAGCCATCACATTAGGGGTGAATTAATTAAATGTTTGACCAAATATGGTGGACTAATTTTTTTTTTTTAATCCTCACCCAAGGATATTTTTTCATTGATTTTTAGATAGAGTGGGAGGGAGGGAGGGAAGGAGGGAGAGAGGGAGAAAGAGAGAGAGAGGGAGAGAGGGAGAGAGAGAAACATTCATGTGAGAGAGACATATCAATTGGTTGCTTCCTGCATGACCCCAGCCAGGGCCAAGGATTAAACTGAAACCAAGGTACACGTAGCTCTTGACCAGAATTGAATCAGTGGCTCTTTGGTCCACAGGCTGATGCTCTAACTGCTGAGCCAAACCAGCCTGGTCTAGCAGGCTAATTTTTTTTTTTTTTTATCCTCACCCGAGGACATTTTTCCATTTTTTGTTCAGATAGAGTGGGAGGGGGAGAGAGAGAGAGAAAGAGGAACATCGACGTGAAAGGGACACATTGAGTGGCTGCCACCCGCATGACCAACCAGGGTTGGGGACAAACTGCAACCGAGGTACGCGCCCTTAGCAGGAACCGAACCTGGGTCTCTCTGGACTGCAGGCCAATGCTCTAACTGCTGAGCCAAACTGGCCAGGGCAAGCAGGCTAATTTTTAAGTGGATAATTTTGTATGGCCTTTGAAGATGTTATAAATATCCAAATGGCCCTTGGCAGAAAAAAAAGATTCCCCATCCTTGTCTTTGAAGCAGGACCAAACACACAAGGGCTCCTAGTTATCATAAAAGCTCTCTGGGTGACAATAACAATCTGTAAAGGTCTCTGCGGCAGTCTGGGGTTTGGTTCTACAACTGGAAAGTCTGGAAATTACAGTGCTGTGTCACTTGACTGTAAGGCCAAGTGCTTTTACCCACCCTGAACTTCAGATACTTCATCTGTAAAATGGAATTAACATTAGTTTTTTTGCCAAGGTTTCAAGGATTAGGGTTAATATATATAAAGTAGCTGACACAAGTAGGCTTACCACTGTTATCACTCTCCTCATATTTGTGCATTTTGTTATCTGACTTGCCCACTCTTATTTAAGCTCCAAGGGAGATTTAAAAATAGAAGCAAAGCATCACACCCATACTGACTCTCAGAGATCTAGAAGAAAGCTTACCCACTATATCATTCTCTGGTTTTTAGGGTTTGTCCTCTTGCAAGTTTCCTTTTTCAGATTTTCAAGAAGTATTAAAAGTTTCCAGATGTCAAAAGGAAAGAGCCTGTGTGTTGGCCAGGTTTTGACCTACTCTCAAGTAGGAAGAGAAAAGGGAAGGGAATTACTGAAAACATGTTATTTTTAACAAATAACACAATTGATCACCCGAACTGTAATTAGGATTGCCAAGAGTCAAGGTTTTTTAATTAAAAAATGTTTTCGTTATTGATTTTAGAGAGAGAGAAAGGGAGAGAGAGATGGAAATATTGATGAGAGAGAACATTGCATGTCACCCCCCCCCCACTGGGGATTTGGCCCACAATCTGGGCATGTGCCCCAACCAGGAATTGAACCAGCAACATCTTGGTACATGGGTCGATGCTCAACCACTGAGCTACACTGGTGGGGCAAGTCAAGGTTTTTTGAAAAATGGGTGTTATTTTGCTGTTATTCATAATAATCATCACTATGCTTAAAGCTTCCTATAGTTTGAAAGAAAATAAGATCAAATGCAGAGCTGGGTGCAAGAATAGGGGCTGCCATAGCCTTTCATTCCCAGAGGCCATGGAAGGCCCTCTGTCCTCTCCTGTAAGCTCTGAGCAGTCCTTTTCATTAGCATCTTGGTGGAATCTTCAGGTGGAAGAGCTGAAGAATCAACTTTAGTCCTTCATTGTCACCTCTGGTTACCGCACTCACTCTGCCATAGTTTGCCCAGGTTTTAGTTAAAATAAAGTGGCAATTCTAACAGTTTTCAAAAATGAAAGGGAAAGTTAATTCTTAAGGGTCTTTGCTCTACTCTAAGTTCTGGTATTTCTCCAAGTGTGGCTATCTGACCATCTGTACCTGATCTCTTGGATGCCTGTTGGAAACGCAGATTCTTAGCCTCCCCTCCCCTGTAGACTTTCTGAATCAAAATCTTTGAGTGTAGATCCCAGAAATAACCATGTTCAAAAAGCAGTTTCAGGAGTACAGTAAAGTTTGGAAACACCGTTATTCCTTACTAGTTTCTTATTTCTTTTTCTTCTCTCTCCTGTTTCTCCTTATCTTCACTTTTTCTTTCCTCATTCTTCCTCACTTATTTGCTCCCTTCTTCCTCCACCTTGATGCTAAGGGTTCAGAGTAGCCTGTTGAATTGTTCTTTTAACATAATAAATATAAGTCCTCTGGAAATGCAGCTAGGAGGGAAAAAGAAGTATGTATTTTTTACTGCCTTGCCTGTCCCCATAAAAGAAGGGTATATGCAAAGCTGTCCTGTCTGAGCACCAGCTTTCAGAATTGCAGCATTCTTTTAAGTATACAGAAGCATGATATTCACAGCTAGTTTTTCAGTATAGAGGGTGGACTTTGGAGATTGGAAATGTTTTTCTTTAGAGAAACATCACTGGCATGATGTCCCAGGGGAGTCAGCCACCACCAGCCTCCGAATTATACACTGGCCTGTACACTTGCTGGAGGGCATAAGGTCGTGAAAGCATTTGTGGAATATGGGGTCAATAGGACAGGAAATAGTAAAGGAGAAAGTGGGGGTGGTGAAGGAGAGTATTTGCATGGAGTTTGGGGCAGGTGCCACCAGAGTCCTGAACCTCTGCTTTTGTCTTCACAGCCATTGAAAGAAGAAAGCAAGATGAATGCAGAGGTGAGTTCTTTAAAAATACCAGTTTAAAGAATGCTTTTCTTGTGGTGTTTCTCATTTCTCCTTCACAGGGTGTCTTCTCTCTCTCCCGAGGTTTCAGAAACATCAGCACAAACTTGAAAATATTTCCCCTCCAACCTGCCATGTATGTGGCTCTGGGCAATATGGGAAGCATTAGGTCCATCTGCGTTCTTGTCTTAAGTTGGTTTTTAGAGAGGGGAAGGTTGGGGGGAGAGAGAAAAGCATCAATATGGGAGAGAGAAACATTGATTCATTGCCTTCCACATGCACCCTGACCAGGGATCAAACCAGCAACTTGTGTATGTGCCCTGTCTCTAATCAAACCACTTTTTGGTGTATGGGACAACTTTCCAACCAACTGAGCCACACCTGTCAGGGCAGGCCCGTCTGCATTCTTATCTGTGTCTTCCCTGCTTCACTGAGATGAGAATTTACTAGTTAATCCTGAAACAATTCTCATGGGCTATGGGTGGCACAGGCAGCATTGTGTGGGGGGCATTGGGCTCGGAACCCTGCTTTATGTTATTCTGGGGACAATTACTTTTGCTTAATAAAATGTTTCTCTGTATTACGTTGGTGCTCTCACTTCCACTGTACCCGTTCTTTGATCCAACAAAATGTCCAGGAGAAAGAGATGGCTTCTTGCAGCTTTCCCAGAGGAGGGGCAACCTTTTTTCTTGAAGCCCCTTCAAATGCCTTCTTAGGTCTTATTGGCTATAATCAGGTCATATTCCCATTCCTGGACCAAGTACTGTATCTAAGGAGCTAGTTTTTGCCAATTGGCTTATACTAATCAGGCCCACCCTGCTGCAGCTTACCCCTCTACCACTGGGCTGGATGTAGGAAGAAGAAAGGAGGATGGGCATGGGGAATAGATGCATTGCATTCAGTCTAAGACATTTCTGGTGAAAGTGTACCCCTCTTTATGCTCTGAATTGCAAACTCGGCTGCCTATTTAGACCTTGCAATGCCTCCCTAGTTACCTCCTTTACCTCACTTCTACTAGCTCTTTCTCATTAATATTTCAAAATGCTTTAGTTTTTTCTTTCTTCAGAACAAAACAACACATGGCATCTCATCAAGCTTTGTAATCCTATTTTCTCATCCTTTTCAGAGTTAGCTTCTTGAAAGAGATATCTGCATCTAATTTCTCCATTTTCTCCTCTGTTTGTCTCATTCTTAACCTGCTACAGTCTGGCTTTGGTCCCAAAGGGAATTAATCTTTTTTTTTTATCCTCACCCGAGGACATTTTTCCTTTTTTTGTTCAGGTAGAGTGGGAGGGAGAGAGGGGAACAGAGAGAGAGAGAGAAACATCGACGTGAGAGGAACACATCGAGTGGTTGCCACCCGCACGACCGACCAGGGCCGGGGACAAACTGCAACCGAGGTATGCGCCCTTAGCGGGAAACGAACCCGGGTCTCTCAGGACCGCAGGCCGATGCTCTAACCGCTGAGCCAAACCGGCCAGGGCAAGGAAATTAATCTTAAATATATATTTTTAAATTCTCTTTTATAATATGTAAATACACATAACTAGTAGAACTTAAAATCTATGGTAAACAGTCAAAAGTAGGCCTTCCTACTACTTCATTCCCCTAGATGTTGACTTCTGTAAACCACTTTCTGGTGTCTCTGAACCTTTACTTGAAGGACCCCATGATTCACCCAGTCTCATGTCTTAAAAGCTCTGAAGAAAGATAGGAACTTTGCATTAATATTAAGCTTATATTACCTGGCCCAGTAATAGTTCCATCAATCATCAGATACTCTTTTTGACCTATAATTTTGACCTTTACTTCTTTGATGAGTTTTTCCTCTTAGTCTTTTGAAAACATTCCCAGACGTTGGGTCTCCATCTGAATATTCTCTTTTCTCTTCTGCCTTAAACACTCATTATTTTGTGTCCTTGCCCACCTTCTCACTTCCTTTTTATTTCCAATCCCACTGCAGTCTGACTTGGTTCTCATTGCTCCATTAAAACTTCTCAGGTGAGCCCGCCTGTGTGGCTCAGTGGATTGAACATCATCTTATGGACTGAGAGGCTCCAGTTCGATTCCCGGTCAGGGCACATGCCCGGGTTATGGGTTTGATCCCCAGTAGGGGGTGTGCAGGAGGTAGCCGATTGATGTAACTCTCTCACTTCGGCATTTCTATTTCTCTCTCTAAAAACATCAATAAAAACATATTTTTTAAAAAAAACACCAAAAAACCTCTCAGGTGAAGAGCACCAGTGGCCTCCATCTTGCCACATTTAGCAGAAGCCTTTTCACACTATTGATCGTATTCTTGAAACGTTCCCATGATGCCAGGATTTCTGCCTATCTCTCTGGTGACTTCATTTCTTACTTTTTGTTTGGTTCCTTTTTTCTGCTCCTTAAATGTTTGTCTTTCCTAGGGTACTTCTCACCCTACCCACTGTCCTTGGAAACTCAGCTGTTCCCACAACTTTTATTTGCCAGTCTTATGTTTAGGGATATTCCAAGTGGATTTGTTCAACCAGGTCTTTCTCCTCATCTCTAGATCCATACATCTATAAGCCTAGATTGCTCATCTTCATTTAAAGGTTCCACAGGTACCCCAACTCATTAAAACCTAAGCTGGACTTGCCGTTTTACATCTTCCCCAAATGTACTTCTCCTCATGGGGCTTTCCCAGAGAAGAGCACCACTGCCCTCTATTTACTCGGCCTAGAAACTTGATGTCCCCCTCACTCATTTCCTTTAGTCCATGCTATAAATCCTGCTATTTACTTGATTTAATCAGTCACCAAAGTTTATTTAACAACACACTATGCCACACTCTAGATTTGGCTTTATGGCCTGATAGTAAAAATCCTTCCTTCCTTCCTTCCTTCCTTCCTTCCTTCCTTCCTTCCTTCCTTCCTTCCTTCCTTCCTTCCTTCCTTCCTTCCTCTCTCTCTCTTTCCTCTATTATCTATCTATCTATCTATCTATCTATCTATCATCTATCATCTATCCAGCTATCATCTGTCTATTATCTTCTATTTATCTATCTGTAGATATAAATATAGATATATAGATTTGATATTTGTACTTATGCAACTGATTGTACTAGTGAGACTATATTTTTCAAATCTGTCTGTTTCTTACTTTACTTTCTGCCTACTTATCACTTTCTCACTTCCCTAATTCTGTACTTACTCTCCTTTATTTTTCTTACCCTCCTGTAGGTCATTCTTTTTCCCTTTTTGAGGGCAGAGGAGGAGATCTCAGACACAGAGGGTACTCCTCAGCCCTAGAGTGTTACACCTTGTCTTTGTAGATCTGTGCAAGGCCACTCATATATATTTTCTTACTTTGTTTTGTCTCCATCCTCATTGTCACCCTTCTAAAGACAGCTGTTCTGATGTAGTAAATGTTTACCTTTTTGTTTGCATATATTCATGAAAATATGTTATTGATTTTATACAAATACCTTTTACATTTACATACGTAAACATCTTTTTTTGGTGTACGGTTCAATGAATAAAATACATGCATGGATTTTATACTCATCAGTATAGCAAAATTCAGATCCTCTCAAACATTCCCTTCTGTTGCCCCTTTGTTGTCACACCCTCCTTGATCCCTAACCCCTAGCAACTACTGTGTAATATACTTTAATTTAAATAATTGTATTGTGTTACAGTTTATATTTTAGTCTCTTTAACTTTTCCATTCAGCACTACATTTTCATGATATAACATATTGTTAATCTGCTGCACATTACCCCATTATTTAATCCTAACAAAATGCCTGTGAACAAGATGCTATTATTACCTCTGTTTTGTGCATGAGGAAAATGAGGGTTAAGTAAATTGCTCTAAGTCACAGGGTCGTAGGGGCAGAATGTGGATTCAAGCCCTTATGTTTCCGACTTGATTAATGCTTTTTTCTTATCTATATTTAGCTAATTATATCTGTCCTGTTCAAATGTTATTTCTACTGTATGAAAAGTTTTCTTAGAGCTTTCTCTCTGGAAATAATACCTCCATGTTGTGAATTCCCATTTCCCTTTATCTCTTTTTTTGTTATCATCCAGATTCTCTAACTTCAGGTATAGCTGTCTATGTGCCTTGTTCATCTTTGTATTCCCATGGCGTCTAGCATGATGCCTCATTAAATATTAGTTGACTAAATGAAAGGGTAACTCAGAAATGGGTGGGTCAGTGAAAATGTAGAGGAAGGAAATCATGACAGAAATTTTCAAAGAAAACTTGCGAGGGGAAGGGTGGAGAAGGATTGCTAGCCACACCAAGCCTTTGATAGCAGAGGATATTTGTTGAATTTCAAGCTGGGCACCTGGTAGAATTTGTGGAGCACTTAGCCTTTGCTGAAAAGTAAAGACACTCAGGTATCTACCCAGGCCAGGGTGAGATGGCAAGGTGGAAATGCCCAGTTTGCATTTCTTGGAACTGGAGCTTGGAGGAGAGGATGAGTCACAGCTCAAGATGTTGGATCTTTAGAATAAATGTGGTAATGGAAACCTTAACAGTGAGGGTATTTCCCCTGATCCCAACCCTTTACCCAGGAAGAAAAAAAAAAAAAGGAACAATAATTGAGCTTTGGGAAATATGTACATCTAGGGGGCAAGATGGAGAAGGAAAGTAGTAAAGTGTGAAAAGAAAACATCAGTATGAGGTGAGTGAAGGCAAGAAAGGTGTGAATTTAAAGAAGGTCCAATTAAGTTTTAAAGATGACTCAAGTTCTGGAGAATGTATCTGAAGAAATGCCATTGGGTTTAGCAATGAAGTCTTAGATGACCTGTGGTCAAGTAGAGAGGTGTGGTAGTGAAAAGCAGATTACACTCAGGCCAGAAAGGGTGAGTGGAGGTGGCAATTGTAGACTGGAGGTGTGAGGAGTCAGATAATTTGGGGGCACTGGACAGGGCAATGTCAGGGATAGAGGATTTTGGAGGTGGAGTAGCTGAGGTTGCCAGACACTGTAGAGGGTATTCTAAGAAGGGAGATGGGAGTAAGCCA